TAGAATTTATTTAGATACTCACAGTTCCACGGACCAGATTTTGACCCCAGTTGTGCAGATTAAAGGTGTCACTTGTGTCATCAGTACCTATCAGGGTGATATAAACATTGTCATTGGTTCCAGCAAAAGCCATCTTGCCAGTGGTCACAGACACTTTGCAAGTAAATGACACCATTGTTTTAAATTTATTTTATGATTTACAGATTGTAAAGTTTTTTTCCTTTGTGTTCAGCAGAGAAGAGATATTAAGTCTCAGTTGTGGAACTTCACAGTACACGTGGGCCCTTAAATAGAGCTGCAGTTGAATCCTCCCTCTTTATGAGGACACCCATACACACCCACATACATACACAACTTTAGTAACTGGTTAATCACTCACACAAAAAGTAAACAATATTGCATATTAATTAGTTTAAGATTAGGTTTTAGTTTATTTTATTGTTAAGGCTAGGAATTGTATAATTTTCAAATGTTTTAGTGGAGTTCTGGTAACATTAAATCAGGATTTTCCAACTCCAGAGATCTGGGTCCAGAAACTAGGAACAGATGGTTTAATTTTTCTATTTATTCCTTAATTACAATAACTATTACTATTTTTCCAGATATAATGCTGTTTGTAATAATAATAATAATAATAATAATTTTTTTTAAGCTCCTATCAAACCCAAGGATTCTGTTCATCTTGAATAAAGAAAAAAGACAGGAAAAGTACAATAAGAGTAGAGTACAAAATCTATTTTTTCAATTCAATTTCATAGCTATAAAAAAATGATTTGAATATTCTGACTTAAGCACAACCTTAATGTTAACAATATTTGGCACATCTTTTACAAATGTCTCTGTCTATTATTTATCTGTACAGTCTATACAGTATCTCCCACACTAATAAATAATTTAATATATGTGGCTAACTCTAATTTTCTTTTACTAGACTGTTCTTTTTTTCATAATGCTCAGTGGTTCTACATGACCACAATTGGTATAACTAAAGATATAACAATATAAAATGTGATTCTTGGGATTAATTAGGCAGATATGTGCTGGATACAAGTGAGTTATATATGACAGAAGATTAAAATCATCTTAAAATAAATTTGTACTCTTTTGGAAGAGTCTCTTCACGTTTATCTTTTAATCTGTCAAATACAGCATGTGTTGTTCCAGAAAAAGAATAAAACATAAACCATCTCTATCACAATCTGCAATCTTTCTGTCACATCACCGGTTCCAGCAGCAGGCCTGGATTTTGTCATCTCGTTTGAGGAAATAGATATGCAAAGGTGGTGTTTCTCACCCTGAGTGTGTGGGTGAGACCTAAACCTTTCAAAGTTTGTAACCCCAGTTTTCTCAAGATTCCCTTTCCTGGGAAACCTAGCTTGATAGATTCCCGCTTGGAAATCACAAACCCTTATACATACTGTAAATGATGTTTTTTAACTCAATGTGGGATATGAGAGAGAGAGAGAACCTTACATAGTTTGGCTTATAGTAGTAGGATAAACCCTTTCTTTGTTGCTTTCTTTTGTTGATATGAACCACTCAACCGCTTTCTTTAACTTACCAGTGGTTCAATGTGGTAACAACCAAGTGTGCTGCCACATACTGTACCTCTCTAAAGCTCAGTCAGCTGAGTCAAGCTCAAACCTGATGGCTCTAGAACCACTCCTCTGGTCAGACTTTACTGAGTGATTTAAAATTTGTCATAAATGTCATTAAAATAAATTATAGTAGATCATTAAGTGTCTCCCTCACCTAGCAAGAAAAGCATCTACTGCAGTTTTTAATTTGGCAACATGAGCAAAAAATTATATTTCCCTTTACCACACAATTTAAAGAATTCCATGAAGTAATTTCCACAGATATCCATACTGTATATCAACTATATAATTACAGTCTTTCTTGTAGACAGACTTCATCTAGATGTCATTACCTACTGTACACCACTAATTCGGAAACGATAATTAATCTGATATTAAAAATGTTTTAACTGTGTACACTGGGCCTCAATGGCAAATTGCAACATTTACAATTTAAATATATTGATTGAATATATTGCTGTTACGTCCCAGTGTGTGGTCTGTGTTTTTTTTGTTATGTTCCACACTGCTGACTCTTGATTGTTCTCCCTCCCTCATTGGCCCACCATTACACCACTGTTCCGTATGACATCATCATCAATCAGCCTCTCAGCCAATCAGAACTCATCTTATTCAGTATATAACATGGAGGTTTTCAGGCAGGAGAGGCCTTTTGTTTGACTTTGTTCCTGCTTGGTTTTGCTTTGCTTCATTTCGCTTTGGTTATAGCTTCAGTTCACTTTTGCTTCAGCTTTGTTGGTTTGTTGTTTTGTTTTGTGTGTGTGTGTTTTCGTATAGCTTCGGCTTTGTTGGTTTCTGTTCGTTTCTTTGTATTTTCGTTTTTTGTGTTTATTCTTGTTTGCCATTACCTTGCCCTAACGTGTTATATGTTTAACCTCTGTGTTCTTTTGAACCCTGTTCCTGTTGATTGCTCTCGTTTTCCATTATTTGTATTCCTAGTTCACTTTTTTCCTAGTGTTTTTGTGTATAAGGTTAGTTTAGGTTGTTGGGTACATTCTACACACTTAGTTGATTTTGTATTAGTCACACTAGTTTAGTACGGGTGAGTGCCGTTTGTCTTGTATGGTTTTGGGTAGTCAGTGGAGGTTAGCTAGGGTGTTGAAGACGCCGAAGACCGTTTTGGGTTTTCTTTTGTAGACAGGTTAGCTTTCCCTCACTTTCCTAGTCAGCTCCATTTTGTTTGTTATTTACATTTCTTTGGCATCACTCTAGTCACCCTGTGTGTTATTCTCTCCAATCCAGTCACATATTCTTCTTAAAATCATCACTTTTGCACTGACCCTTGTTGTCACACTTCCTTGTCCCTCACCAGAGCCCACCTGCTTCCAAAAGAATTATCCTAAATGTTACACCCCTTTACCCCTAGACACTTGGGGTCGTAACAGTTGCAGACTTGTATCAGCTTCTATGCAACATATAGTATAGTCAATAGTATATGACAAAGTCATTCAAATCACAACTCAAAACTTTTATTTACAATGTGTTTAAAGCCAGTATCTATAATATGTCTTTGTAACCAAAATCTAAAATGAATTATCTTTCTAATTGCCCTTAGTACACAATTGCTAATAATTCTGTATACTATAATAAACACAACAATAATTCTGCTAGTGTTATACAGTTTTGTGACACATCGCATTTGGAGCTGTGGTGGCAACTTGGTAACAACATCCTGTCTCAACAATGTAATCATTGTATTTAATACAATTGTTTGTTGCTAGCATACAGTACATACAGTACAGTATGATTAGCACATGGAAGCACTATTGGGTTAATAAAAATTTAATACTGTACTGATTTGTCTGATAATCACACACAGATATGATATTTTTCATTTTTGTGCAAGGTAAATTGCAATATTAACAATTTCAGTTGTAGTCACTCCATGAAAGTCATTGTGTTCTAACAATTTCCATGAAACCAGGCACATAAAAAAAACAATGTCCAATCCAGGTGCCATTCATGGCATATAAACAACCCCTGTACAGCCACATTGCATTTTAAAACAGCAGCTAGGATATGCATTTTATATGTTTAA